CCATTGTTCCTTTTTTTTTTTTTTTTTTTATAATTTATTTTTTTTTTTTTTTTTTTCTTTTTTTTTTTTTTTTTTTTTTTTTTTCCCCCCCCCCCCCCCCCCCCCCCCCAGGCCAGCTTGAAAGCATTTAGAAAGGCTTTCCGTTTCGGTATTACCCTCCCAATTCCGTTGGAGATTCCAAGGTGGTCTAGAGAATCTATAATCTGCTGAGCTACCTCGGCGCATTCTCTAGATAATGCAAGAATTCTCTTATTGGTTTCATTTTCAGCTGTGTCCGGATGTGAGGATGTGGTTATGGGTATATGCTGTAGAGCAGCCTTGAGATCTCGCGAAATAGATTGAGAAATGGTAAATTCGTCAATCGTCTTCTTCTTGGAGCACCATATGTTATAGGCAAGGTTAATGAATTTGGCACTGACACCGATAACTTGAATGATATTGACTGCAAGTCCAAAAGCTGCAACAGCTTCGGCCATCTTGTTGAATCATATCTAGTAAGAACAGAGTTACGATATTTTGGAAAATAAAAGTTAGGGTACCTTAGGTTAGGTTAGGTAGGAATGAAATAATGCTAGTCTGGAATATGTTGACATCCCAATCGATTCATGCGACGAATAGAAGTTGCAGTATTCGGTCCTGTCAATATTACTGCAGGAAGCGCACTCGACGGTATAGTGGCCATGTGTCACTCTCTGCCTTGGCTGTCTGTCTGCCTTGGTTCTTGTTAATTTCCCCGCTGCGCCGACTTATATCAACCAGCGATAGCAAATCAAATCAAATCAAATATACGTAAAAGCCTGATCTGGTCAGGCCAAGTCAAGTCTTTTGAAAAAAGAGGCTTATTTGACCGTATCGTAAGCCTGGCTTGAGGCACTAGTGTTATCGATATTGGTAAAATCGGATGTAAATAGTCCGTTAGATTCTATTGGTGGAATTCGGTACGTACCGAAATTAATACCCACTTAGCCCCACCACGTACCTCTTTTTGAATACATACTTTTTTTAAAACACCAAAATCAACATCGTGATATTAAAAAACACGATTCCAGCTAGCCTCAGTACGCATTCAGGTACGTACCCCATTTTTTACTTTCCTACCTAGGTACCTAGGTAGATATAAAAAATTTTCAGGTAATCTAATATTAAATCGTTGAGAAAAATAGACGTGTGCTACATGAAATACCACTTAACAAATATAGTAATATTGGCCTCAAAATTTTCACGTTATCTAGGATAAAAAAAAAAAAAAAAATCGGGCTTGGCCTGTATAGATACTGTAGAATTTAGGCCTATACAGGCTAGGTCAGGTCAAGCTTTTATTTGATTTGGTTGGTTGATATTTGATATTATCAACCAACCAAAACTTCGAAGAGCTTCAAAATAGGGTACCATCCCATGAATAGTCCGAACTATTCGATCAATTAACTTTGCATGTAGTAGGAGAACTTCAGGGGAATTTAAAATTTTGGATACCGACAGAGTTTCAAGGCTCGAAGTTTGTTAATACCAGCCACGTTATTGCTGGCCACCCCCTTTTCAGATGTCATGAAGAACTAAGCTTACTCTGAAACAGCGCTCGGCTTATGTATGTTATTTATAAAAGACAAAAATGGTTCGGCTGCTCCTTAGATTGCCATCGGACTATGACGATTGTCGAGGCAAGTAAGCAACCTTGATACATCAGCATCCTTGTTCCCCTGATGAAAACGCACATGTAGGCCGTATGGTGTTAATTTTTCCCATTAGCCAACCTTTGAATAAGACTCGACAGTACTAGCAGATTTTTTCTATGTGCGGTGGTATAACTCATCGCCGAGCTACGGTGTGCCTTTTATTGTCTTTCGCTAATTCTGCTGCGCGTATCCGTATCCCCCCTTTCCTCGTCTATACACCCATTTGGAGTCCATATTGATCACCTAAATCTAGAATGACGATGTCGACATTCTACATGCAGCCTTTCTAGTATCCCTTTTACATTCATAGCCATGTCTCAATAAACGCATTGCTTGAGTCATTAATGTTTTTGATCTTGTCTAGTCGCAGGATGTACTGCTCCGTTCGTCCATATAAGTGTCTCGTGAACTATGGCCCGATTCCCCCGTTCTAGCTGATAACCCAACATTGCTGCTTGTTGAAGACCTAATAACCACAAGACCCCATGAGAGTGCCGTTAATAGCCCAGTCCTTCTTTCCATAATCCCCCTCCCCGATTTCGTCTCAACAGTTAGACACGATGAAGTCCTTTTATGGTGTCTATCTGATTTCTATCGCTATTCACATAGTGGCAACGTTCGCAAACGGCTTCGGAGGAGGTGCTAATAGATTCGGGGGAGATACTAATGGATTCGGAGGAGGTACTAATGGATTCGGAGGAGGCTCCAATGGATTCGGAGGAGCTGCTAATGGATTCGGAGGAGGCTCCAATGGAGTCGGAGGAGGCTCCAATGGAGTCGGAGGAGCTGCTAATGGAGTCGGCTCCGGCAAGACCAACAACAACGCATATGGTTCCATTACATCTCCTAAGCATGGCCAAAACAACCCTCACGACTCAAATGGGGTCCGCTCCATCGTGAACGCCATTAATTCAGCTAACCATCAGATTGGCACAGTAAATCGCGCGATACGAAGCCTCAGGAGTGGCGGCACTATTGAGCATCTGGACCTCGCGCTCCAGTCATTATCCTCTGCGATAAGGACGACATCTACTGTTATTACTTCAGCCAGGTCCCTCCGCGATGATGATTTCCAAACCATACATTCGTCCATACGGCCATTTCATCAATCTGTTGGCTCACTTGTAACGCGGCTAACGGGCAGGCGTGACACAATAGCTCGACTCTGTGGATGTCGTTCCATACAAGGTTCTGTGAATCATATACGAATCTCAACTCGGGCTATGTTTGACGGCATTAAAACCCATTTGAGGCACGGCGGACCTTCTCACGGCAGACATGGCTTCGGAGAGTTTCAATCTTTGGATTCAGGAATCGAGAGCTTCCTCAATCACGGATATAATTCCTTTGGCTTCGGCAACTGTATTGTGAGATATTTCGCCTTGTTATCGAAAATCAAAGCGAGGCCCCAATAAATCTCTGCTGACTCTAGATCCATGTTAGGACTTTGGAAGCATCCCATCAATACCCAGCCCGTCCTATACAATTCAGACAAATTCATGGGCGCCCTCAGCAACCACATATTCCTCGACTGTAACTGATTTCACAACAGTGGTAAGTTCCTCTTCGAATATTATTTTTCTTCTCCGAACACATTGTTCACTCAGACCTCACGTCATATTTCGTACATCAAAATGTCGAACCCATCGCTGACTTTTCCAAATCATGATAGGTTGTTACAGACACGATTACAGACACGATTACAGACACGATTACAGACACGACTACAGACACGGTTACAGACACGACTACAGACACGGTTACAGACACAGTTACGGACACGGCTACGGACACGGCTACGGACACGGTTACAGACACGATTACAGACACGATTATAGACACGATCACTGAAACGGTGGTACAGACTTCGTGGGTAAATGTCGTAAGTATTTACTAACCCCTCTCATATAAGCACCTCATTTGATTGCATCATATCAGCATTTGTACTAACTTTTGGCTAAGTATAGCACTTTTACCAACGTATATACTTCATACGTTTTTGAATCATCAACTGTAGGTAATGTAATGCATATCGTGGACCATTTTCACCCCACACTCTTACATCGCGAAACCCGTTCCTGTATCATATTTCGGTGTCGCATCTAATACACCAGTATTGGTACGACTCCGTACTCTTCAAATTTTACTAACACTGACATGAGCCGCCCCTCAGCTTCCAATACGTTGACAACTAGTACAATATCTTCAACTATTACGAAAACATCAACTATTACGAGAACATCGACAATAGGGAGTTTCTTTACATTTACTGTTACCCTCACGTCCACAGTTACAAGCACTACAGCACCACAAGCTAGTAGTACATTTATATCCACGCTCACGGTAACGCGACTAGGGACTTCAGAGACTACAAGGACCAATACACTCACATCGACTATTACAAATACTGTTACCTCGAGAAGTACCCTTACTTCAACCATCACTAAGACGAAGACAAGTACTATAACACCGTCAAGCTCTAAATCGACTAATACGCTCACATCGACTGTTACAAGTAGTGTTGCCCCAGGAAGTACCCTTACTTCAATCATCATCAAGACAAAGACAAGTACTATAACAGGGTCAAACTTTATATCAACTAATACACTGACATCGACTGTTACCAATACTGTTACCTTGGGAAGTACCTTTACTTCCACCATCACCAGGACGAGGACGAGTACTATAAAAGCGCCAAGCTCTGTATCGACTACAGGGATATCCAGCTTAACCCTTACAAATACTATTACTTTAGGAAGTACCTTTACTTCCACCATCACCAAGACAATAATAAGTACTATAACAGGATCAAGCTCTATATCGACCATAAGGACATCCCACTTAACCCTTACGACTACTATTACACTGGAAAGTACGATCACATCCACAGTCACGAGCACCGTGATCAATTCGTCTGGATCCCCTACAGCGCGTACCTACACAACAACAGCTACAACTACTTACACCAACTCTGATGAGACAGTTACGTCAACATTCACGTTGACTAAAACCGATACTTCAGGAGCATCTACAAAAACCTATACGACAACTGTTACGAGTACGTACACGAGCCCAGGCAGTACAGCAACAGCCGTTTTTACACGAACAAAGACACGCACTGCGGGTAGCTCAAATACTCAGTCTAGTACCGGTCTGGTGATAGCCACAGTTACGAAAACCTATACGGACCCTGGGAGCACAATAACTTCAACCTTTACTACGACTGAAGTAGCTAAAGTGGCGGCATCAACAATAAAGACTTACACGTCTACTCTCACAAATACGTTTACTAGATCTGGTTCAACATTCACATCCACCGTGACGACAACTAGCACAGAGACGGTAGTATTGGCATCTGTAGCTGGTACTTCCACGTCAGGCAGTTCGGATCCACCAGAGGTAACCTTGACATTCACTATCACAAGTACGAGGACAAGCACCCTCAGTGGATCAGGATCCGGCACGAGAACCTACACGTCGACAATTACGAACACCCTCACGTCTACTCGGTTAATTTCAACGAGGGGTACGGTAACCGGACTAGGTATAAGTACTGGTAACGCGTCGGCTACCGGGACGACGGGTCCATCCACAGCTGCTACTGTTACAAATGTCTCGGAGGCGGGAACTGACGCTAGCACGCCGACACGAGGTGCAACAACGTACACGACCGTCATAACTCGTACCTCCGGGAGCTTGACGACGACGTTCACGTCTACAGGCACGCGCGCCGTAGCAGCAGGCTCTACGTCTACATCTACTGCGACGGGTATGGCTAACTCACTCGCTACGGCAACCGCGGCAAACCCCTCGAGCGCGAGCGCTAGAAAATTTACATTTACGAGGTCGGGCTCGGTTATTACATTCACTATCAATTCCACTGGCCGGCGGAGAGCGACGTCCAGCGCAGGGAGCGGGACCCCCAGGGCCGGCAGTGGAAGTAGCACGGATTCCGGGCCTGCTACCGTCACTGTTACTGGGAACGGAGATACCGTTGTAAGACACTTTTTACTTTTCTTTTTTCTTTTTCAATCTTTTACAGCTTGTCCAGAACGCTAATAGTGATATGGCAGATTTTGACGACGTCAAGCTCGCAGACCACTGCTGCTAGCACGACTAGCTCCACCAGCTCTTCCGGAGCGCGTAGGAAAGCCGAGCGTTCAAGAAGTGCGAAAGTCATGGAAGGTGTATTATTCTTCAGTACCATTCTACTTCTCCTTGCATGAACCTAGTGCAGTGGGTTTATGGTAAAATACGGAGTAGGGGGTGTCTGGGGTTTGGTGCAAAGTCTTTCTTCCTTTTTTTTCCTCTCAATGTAGTCTCTATCCTAGAGTGCCTTTTAGTGAGTGCCAGAATACCTAGTCGTGAGGCGAATGCGGCCTGAGATATTTCTCCTAGAAAAGTTCCGTGCTGGTGGAGAACGACACGAGTGGTGATAGAACTTAGGGACTTGCTTATTGGGACCCGGGCGAAACTTGACGAATGACGTTTGTTGTTTACTATGTTAATAGACATACATACATGCTGGGATGGGTAATATGCTTGAATTGGATCCTAATTTGGATTGAACCGTAATTAGTCAGTTGGCATTAATCTCCAATCTCTGCTGAGAGCTATTCATTTTTGGATATGCGGTTTGAGTTTTGGCTCAAAGCTATGGGATCCGGACTTCCGTACTTTCTCTTGTGTCATTTTGAAACATGTAGTAAAGCCTTTTTCAAGAGTTAGTTAAGTTATTCCGACATGAAATGAGAGTTTCTTAATTATTACCCATCCACACGAAGCAAATCCAGCAAGGGGGGAATAACTCCAAATATGGCCCAACTTGTTCAGGATATTGTCTCAACCCAACCTCGCTCCAGACTAAAAAGGTTGTTTGTGCGCAACACTCTAAGCGTTTTTATTAGATGCATCCCTAAAGTTGTGAGTTTAAGAGATTTTCCCTACTTCTATAGCTTTTCGAAATATGTACCATATACCTCGCTTCAAAAGCTACTTCTTTAATTAATCTCACAACTACAACCTGTAAGAAGCCGTTCAATATCATGGCTAAAGAAGCTGTAAACTAAGCCGCTGTGGCTAAGAGCCGTAGGCTTGAAAAACTTCAAGTTTGGGCTATCATTTTACAAAGACAAATTTGATTTATGCAGGTAGGTACCTTATACATAGTATTAGACTATGTATTAGCATTCCTTGCTCTTTACGATTGTTATCTGTGGGATGAGTGTATTCTCTATGTAAAAGGTTTTTTTTTTTTTTTTTTTTTTTTTTTTTTTTAAAAAAAATGAAAAAAAGGGGGCAAGAAAAAATAAACAAACCCCCCGGGTAGTTTATGACCACACCAACACAAAAAAAAATGAAAAACAATTAAAAGA